TCTTGGTTAAATCATACTTGACACGAAAAATGGACACCCCATTTAACAAAAATTCCTCAAAGAAAAAACTCTTATTAGAGAAGACTTAAAATGACCACACACGGGTACCTTGAACCTTAGGCCTTGCCCTCTATTTATAGGCTAGCTTTCTTGGTCACAAAGCACTTAAAAAAGATGACCAACTAGGACTCTTTACTCTTATCTCTCGCAGGAGTAGAGTTAGAAGAGTGTTTGATCTATTTAACTCTATCTAACATCTAGGAAACCTTATTTAAATGACTCATCCTCAAATAGCATAACGATTAGAAGGAATCTAAGACTCTTAAACAAAACACTCCAGTTTTATTCAGCCAACATGGCTTATCTTACTAGATAAACTCGAAAAATCAACTCCTAGACTTAGACAAACTCTAATACTCGAAATTCAGCTCCCAAATATTTGAAGTAAAATGTCTTGAACGCTCTTCCAAAAGGTTGAATATTGGTCTTGCACCCCTAAATGTAGATAACTCCAATTTACTCCAAAACTTGTAAAACTCTCTTTATTGACTCCAAAAGAATGGAAAAACACTTGAAACAATTGAGATAGTTTGCACCCTATCCAATTGTGTGGCAATGGACACAATCTTGAACACTTTAATCAAGAACTTAAATGACTCTTCTCTCTAGCTTGATCAGTGATCTTCATGGAGCACCTAGAGTCAAACTCCCTTGATACTCTTCAGCACTTATTTCCATGAGTGAATCATCTTCTTTGGTTTGAACCCCAAAGTTGATGTCATACTCATCACCTTGATCATAACTTGCTTGAACCAACTCCCTATCACAGAGGTAGTCAAGAGCCATCCTTTCTTCTTTGATTGGCTTGCAAAGTAAACTTGGCATTCCAAAACTAGAATGAAGGACTAGCTCATTCCCCTCACTAGCAGAACCTCCATGAAAGACTATATGATTCTTATCATATCCTTTGGGTGTTCACTGCTTATCTATACCAAAGCACGAACAAGAAGTTGGGCTCCAGTCTCAATGTTGGGCAAGTATTACAATGGCAAACTGAGCTTAATTTTTCAAGGCCTGGTGATTACTTTTGGCGTTGTGATTTTCTTGATTGGAATTTCAGGGAGATTGAGTTTGAGGTTTTTATCAGACCTTATATTAGAGTCAATTGCTCCGAAGGTTGTTATTGGTCGGTGCGGAATGATGGTTTCTACTTAGCTGGTGTTAACAATCCATCTCCAAAAACTTTTAAATTTATACGTGCTTGGAAATAGGATGATGGAATATTAGATAATTTTTAAATTGGTAGTACTAATTAAATATTCTCAAATTTATTAGTTGAATTGAAGATTAAGCTATATATATATATTGTGATCCTCATTGTGACAGAAATATAAATTATTACAATTTATAAATTATAATGTTAATATTTGTCTAGTGTAGGACGAGTATAATCCAACACACACCACACAAAGTAAGAAGCCTTCAGTACTAAAAAATTGATTACTGTTATAAAAGTAAAGATTTGAAACTGCAGAAGAAGAATAAATAAGGAGAGAACAAGTTTTGAGAGAAAGAGAGAATTCATATATGTATTATTCTTTGGAGACTGATCTCCTTTTATAGGCAAACATACAAGGATAACATCAAATAATGATACTCCCTCCGTCCCATAATTATTGTCCAGCTTTACTAAAATGAAAGATTTTATTTTTGGTCAAACTTAACTATATTTTACCTTAAACAACCGGATATACCCCTACATAAGTAATTGTTTAACCACTAAGATTTTATGGATAATGTTTTTTACTAAGGACAAATGTGTAACTTGATCCATAAAAAGTCAAATTGGACAATAATTTTGGGACAAATTTTTTTGGGCAAAGTGGACAATAATTATGGGACAGAGGGAGTAATATCTAACCAAATATTATCTCTAAACAGTTGATTTCTTGTATAACTGTTCTGACTTGTGGACATCCATATTAAATATTTATAACAACTATTTCACGTATAGATAAACCATTTGAGAAAATTGAAAGACTATGGAGAAAGTTGCAACGGCAGACTTTTTTTCTCCTTACTCATGAACTCTACGTTGAACCTATGTATTAGAGACAATAGAAGTATCAATAATATTCCGAAAGATTTATTTGTTATTGATACTTTCACATTAATGTTCCTTAATTGATATTGATAGTTTCATATTAATGTTATTTAAGATTGAGATTTGAGAGCGTAACTTACGGGAAAAAAAAATCAGTGGCTCCTCCAAATAGGATATATTTGCGCTATAACATTCCTTCCCCCACACCCCCACAACACGAGTTAAAAAAAATAAAAAATAAAAATATGCCAGGTCAAAAAGGTATAATTTTAAAATAAAGATTAATTAAATTATATTTTCTAAATAGAAATGGGAACATAGTCTTTCAGGGTACTTATGTTTGCCGATAATTTATTTGTTTAATTTTATTGTTTTACACAACGTTGAAACGTGCGACTCCAAAAGACCCTTTGTGGACGAAAGCATCATTTTTGCCTTCCAGCAACGTGAATTGCAGTTAGTTTTTTCAGAATACTTACTTCCAGAAATCTTGATTTCAGACAATATGGAATTAATGATAAGATTGTTTTATGGATTAAGGAAAAGTACGTGTCTAATTTGAGATTTATAAATAATGATAAATGACTTAATTAAAACAAGATCTTTCAAGATTATTTTTCTTCTCTTTCTTTCAGTTTTTTTGCCTTCACAACATGCAAAATTGTTTTCTCACAATCCCCAAAGAAAACATTATAAATAAATATCTTCCTGTATTATACATTCTCTTTTCGTCCCAAAATTATAAACATTATCACCATCCTGAATAACACTTTGTATCATGATGAGCCAAAATCAAAGAAAACGCCTTGATCTTTCTCCCTTGTTACTAATTATCATCGCCGTCCTAACTTTGCAATCAGCATCGGCACTACAAAGAAGGCAAGGTGTTTACAAAATTCATATAGCCAATAACCTTCGTGACAAGGATTTTCCGTTAGGTCTTCGCTGCAAAACCATACCGGGCGGCGATCGGGATTTGAAGCTCCAAAGTCTCAACGTTGGGGATATTTTTCACTGGGAAACTGTGTTCAATACTTCAAGGCGTGGTGATCTATTTTGGACTTGTGATTTTCTTGACTGGGATTTTAGGGAGACTGAATTTAATGTTTTTAACCTACCTTTAATCGGAGTGAATTGCTTTGAAGCTTGCTATTGGTCGGTGCGGGATGATGGTTTTTATCTTGCCGGCGTCAACAATCCATCTCCACAAGATTTTCAGTTTATGCATAACTGGAAATTGGGAGAATGAATTCATTAGAGTAGATCGCCAGACACTTATATTCATGTTTTTATCATTTTTTTTTTACATTATTGGATATATCCTTGAATATCACACTTTAATTAGAGATTACATCAATTCGCTATCTTTCTCATTAAATTATGTGATACGTATGTTCCTACAAATTTATTTATTTAGAAATATCTTCAGCGATCACATTTTTGGCATATGCTCTAATTAATCGTGTTGCACGTAGCTCATTCCTCGAAAGTCTTTGGTGTTTTTTCTTCCCTTTTAAGACCTTTTTTTTCTTTTTTGATGTTGTGCTTATAATCTGCTTTTAAAATATTTATCATCTGTGCACACCGTGATAACCAAAGTGATTGTGAGGGAGTGGAAGGGACTTCTCAACCCTTAACCATAGGTCGAGTGTTTGAACTTCGTTATAGGCATGGGGCAACCTTAAATATTTTGGCCAACTGTCCCACTCGTTGAGTTGCCTACAATTCAGCGAGAGGATTAGTCAGCGAGGGGGATTAGTCACTGATGCTGACGGTGGATGCCCTGCAAATATGTAAAAAGATAAAAAATAAAAAATTTGCCAATGGCTGGCGTACACTTCCCACCTCGGAAAAATAACTTAATTTTGAAAATTATAATATTAAATTTAGATTTCTGAAACTTTATATCTTATAAATATACAACTTGCTTACAAATGATGCTTTTTCTTCTCAATAATATTCAATTAAAATTTAAATGATGAAGCGAAAAATTCTTGAATAGTATATCACCCTTAAAATGGAACATATCTTCATTTAAAAATTGCCAATGGCTGGCGTACACTTCCCACCTCCGAAAAATACCTTAATTTTGAAAATTATAATATTAGATTTAGATTTATCAAACTTTATATCCTATAAATATACAACTTGCCTACAAATGATGCTTTTTCTTCTCAACAATATTCAATTAAAATTTAAATGATGAAGCGAAAAATTCTTGAATAGTATATCACCCTTAAAATGGAACATATCTTCATTTAATTACTGAAAATAAGGGACTATCTTCACGTTTATAAGAGACTGAGTTGTCTCTGTTCTATTTGATCTTTAAGATCTCGAATTAAAACCATAAAACAAGTAGCTTGTAAATTAAAGTTAAAACTATTGCTCAATTCGTGACAAATCATATATGAGCCTGCGACATGGACTCTTGATTTCACACCCAAATTTGTTACATCTGATATGTCTCTCTCACTGTAATTTTTATGCTATTGCGTTGGATATGAATTAGCCCATTTAAGTGGGGTTCTTGGCCTTACAAAAAAAAAAAAAACTACTTATTATTAAATTAAAAAAACTACTTATTATTAAATTGATGAAGAATATAATTATACTTTATTCAAGTTTTCATCTTCTTAGTTTTTCAAATAAAAAAAAATGAAGTCATCTAATTTGTAGATTTAACGTTTCCAATTTATATTTTGTTTTAGGTCGGAGAAAATAGTATCAAGAGTTCTGCTTACGTATTATCGGGTATGGCCTCCTATTCATAAAACTTTTTCAAACAATACTATAACTCAAGATAGGAATTCCATCATAGATATTTTCTAATTACCTGGGGTTCACATATTACAATTTGAACGATCGATCCAGCTAGAAGAATTTAATCAAACCTTCAATTGATAATTTTCATATACTGAAAACGAGATAGTAGTTTCCGGACCAGAGGGAAAACCGCGAACAAGACCACAATTGGAACAAACTGTGAGCTCTTGAAATGTACACTAACTTGTCCCGATCCCTTGTTATTAACACTAACGCGGCTGTTTAATGTCGAATTCCAGCCAACAGGTATAAACTGGCTCACCAAATTGCAACCAACAGCAAGATCCCCACCACAACTCAACGCACAGAGTCCAAGCTTTGACAGAAAACCACTCATTTGTGTAGCCTCCAGGGTTCCACCACAAGCGATCTCGCGGTTTCCAGCGACGATTGCACCGCCAGAAACCACCATCTGATGACCCTTTTCACCTAGAGTCAATTTGTCCTCAAATTTCAATCCACCTGCGACTTCACCATCGAACAGCGTCAATGATAAACCGGCCAATGGTTCATTTCTTCTCCAGTTGCGAAATCTCGTCTCGCTTCGCAGCGTATAGATAATATTATTATTGTCTACAGACTGCAAATCGAGTCCGAGAGAGGTTGATTTCCCTTCCCCGTGTTGGATTGTACTCGCCATCTCCATTTCGAGATGAGTGGCTATAATATCTTTCGAAAACCGGCCCGAGAGAGAAACCGGTGTCGATTTCCCTTCTTCCCAGTGCTTGATTTCACTAACCAAATCCATTTGGAGATGAGTTTGCTTCTTATCTTTTGAAAATTGTCCCGAGAAAGAAATTGGTATATTCTCTTGGGTGACAATAAAGAGTTTCTCCACATTTATCCCACCAAAATCAACCTCATGATCCCACCTGCTGGTGGAGCCATTAGTTACCGGTTTCACCAACCACGGGTTTGAGAAATCATCACCATGAGGACCTAAAGGTGAAGGAGGTGATATTCTTCGTTCGAGAAGAGACGAAAGTAGTAGTAAAGGCAGATACGGAGGAGGAGAAGTATCTAGTGATTTAGAAAGTGTTTTCGCTTCACCCAAAATGGTTGAACCAAAGCATAACAATAACAACTGTGTTTTCCAAACCTGACCATTTGGCAAAACTCTGTTTCCGTCTCGATTAGTCGAGCAATTCGGATGATTTTCAACAAGAGCAATAGGATTCATCAAGAAGTGTTCATGTCCAGAAGCATAATAAATCGCTTGCTGGACAATGCGAGAGCGCTGAGTTACAAACATTTCATAACTATTCGGCTCTTCAGGTGGAGGATAAAATTGCCCATGAGTCAAAACAACAATAGCATTTAACCAAATTGACGGTCCTAAAACTTTAGTAACGGTCTTCAACAACTGCATATCCTCAAACTCCCAACTCGGCATATCCAGCCTATCCAGATACAAAACGATATCCGGTTCGGTTTTCTTCATATGCCGCCGAATTGTCTTGAGGGTTGTCTCGTTCTTGCATTGGTCTGATAGAGATGGTAGTAAACCGGGCGTGTCGATAACCCGAACATTGATCCCCTGTACGGTGCCTACAGCCTCTTGAACCTTTTCGGTACCCGATTCGAAAGCATGAGTGTCGAACTTAACATCGTCGAATATTGAATTTATGGTTGCGCTTTTTCCGACACCTGATATTCCGAGAACCAGTATTGTACAGGAGAAATCTAATGGATTCTGACCAGAAGAAGAAGCTTCCAGCTGCTCTGCCGTGGAAATATCACCGTCAAAGTTAAAGACGGCGGGTTTACTCCGATTTGTGCCATTTAGGTGTTCGGCTTCAGCAAAATCAAGTTTGTATAAAACGTGGCTCACAACATCGTTGTGTGGAGTCTGCCCAAGTCGGTGAGCAAGGCGTAGAAATTTCACACGTATTTTTTGAAGCTTCTCCAGAGTCTCATCACCGGCTGGATGAGCTGAAATTTCAGGCATGCTAGTGGTAAAAAAATTCTCTGGCGAATCGGACAGCTTTTTGTAGCAAACCCTAGCTAGAAAGTTGCTCCTTTGATGTTCTCTTTTTCCGATTCTGCAATTCGGAAAAAAAAAGAAAAAAAAACAAAGGCATGCTGCTTTTGGCCTTTTTATTTTATTTTATTGAAAAAATAATAATAATAGTAGGGGAAAAAAACCTAAACACAAATGGGCCAATTTAGTTGTGAAAATGGGCAGAAAAACAAAGACACGATTCACATGGTTTGGAGCAATCTCTGTTAAATAGGCGAAGATAATGTCACGTCCGGGGGCCGGAGGGTGGCCGAAATTACAGAAAAAGAAAGAAATAGACGATAGATTGGAGGAAAATTAGGGTTCAAGGATGGGGAGAACTAAGAAGAGAGAGAATTGGAGAAAAACCAATTTGGCATTAAAATTTTCGATAATACGATTACCACCCCTGGTAGACTATTTATAGTCCCCAAGTTACAGAAAATACAATAAGGTCCCTAACTTTCTAATCCTAGTAATTCAGTCCAAGGGCGTGACAAACCCCTCCCCTTAAAACAGTCTTGTCCCCAAGACTGTGTTTCAAAATAAAACAAACTGCCAAATAAAACTTCGAATAACTACAGTAACTGACAATAATACTAACATCAAATACCAATTTACTGAAAATGAAAAGACTGTACAGAAACGGACAGCAAATCAGCGATCAATCCCTTGCAAGTCAGGTGCCAAGCTATTATCCACGTAAAATTCGAGTCAATGCTTACTACCATGGCTACGATCCTTCCTTCGAAAATACTTGTACCTTCACTAAAAGTTGTCACCCTTTCACCATAGCCAAGATGCAAGTCTGCATTGTTCCAGTCTGATCATCTTATCCCAGCTTCAAAAAGAATGGTTTGAGCTGCATTTGTCCAGCTGCTCCAAATTTGAAGTAAATGAGAACCATCCGGATTCTGTCTTGACATCTATTCAGCAACAAAATTCATGAAGCTGCAAGGAATATAATTCATTTCAGATTCGTTTAAAGTTACCAAATCAACCAACTTCCAGCCTCTTTGCTTTATCAAATATACATATCCATTTTGTGTTTCAGCCATTATCAATTTAGCTCTCCAATCCAATTCGGACATTTCAGCCATAGTAGGTTTTTCTGCTCTACACAGTATTTTCGAAATCACTTTGCCTTCACTGACACTAACCATCTCACAAACTTAGACTTGTATTCCCTGTGGGTGCCCATATGATTTTCCAACACACTCCACTTCAACAGCCATTATTCCCGGATTCCAAACATCGACATGAATATTTCCACACATTTTAGACATTTTCTTTCCCACATCACATCCAACCAATTGATCAAACAATTTAAGAATCTTGTCAGCTCTACAATCTAAAGATGTAGACACCAATTGATGATCAATCGAATTAATTTTAAGAACTAGGCAACTTTTATCTGCCGACCTCATCATTCCAGTAATAACTTCTAAGTCTGAACTTATTTCAAAAACTTCAGCAAATGGATTCTTAGTAACAATACGCCCTGATGGTGACATAAACTTCCAAAAATAACCAGCCATCCAATTGATCAGCTCCACATGACTTAGAATATTTGGACATTTAAACTCAAGACTGACAATCTCTCCAATTATAGGGTGAGAAACTATTTCAGGGCGTACCTCCTGCTTCGCAGCAGTGGGAGCAGCCACAATGAGCTCCTTAACACTTGGTTGAGCAGAAGCAAACAAGCTTAAAAGAACATTACTTGCAGTACCCCCCTTGAAACTTGATGCACTCTCAGGCCAAGATTTAGCTTAATCTTCACATGTAATATAACCAGATCAACAATCATAGATTTCAGCTCTGCAAGGTTGCATTTCAAGCAAATATACATCCCTGCCGACAAAATGAACTCAAACCTGCCGTTCTCCTTTTGAAATTATTTCAAATGGACTTTTGGATTGCAATAAAAATGTTCACCAGGGTCAATGACAAAGGAGCTTGGAGGATTTCCAATAAGAACATAGTTTAGCAATTTAGAACCATCTTCCAGGGAATTAGACATATCATTTGGCAACAAAACACTGGTGATCAGTAGGTAGACACATGTGCATTCCCATTTGACCTAAATACCAATACCAGTCACCTGATTACCACTCTTAAACAGTATAGTAGCTCTGAAGGGTCTTAATACACAAAGATGGCCTTCACGGAAGAGAAAACTTCTCCTACCAAAATGATAAAAAATACATATGCCAGGATGTCCCACAGACCAGTCGGTCCCTCACAAAGCATCAAAACAGCAATACTAATATTATAGTCACAATTAGGATTCAATGCTACCAAAGCCACATTAGCTACACTCGGTACAGATTTTTTGAATCTTAAACCAGTATTCTAACTGTCAGACAGAATCACAGCAGTAACACTAAAATCCTCAAGCGAAATCTCAACAACATTAGAACTGACGATGCCTGGATTTGTATCCTTGGCTCGGCTGCGAAACTCTGACTAGGGTTTCCTGCAAGAAAGAACCTCGGGCGTCTCCTAAGGGTGGACACTCCGATGTTTAAGTCAGTAAATCAGAATTGTTTGCGTGGATCGATTCGTAACCAAGATAGCGTACCTTAATTGTGGAACTTGTATCCCTATTTATAGGCAAATAGATACAATCAAAGAACCAAATCCTACTAGGGCTTAGTCACATTGCCGCCCTATTGGAGTCGGTCAGGCCCCTTACACGGTTCTTGGGCCGGTCCAATACCGGGGGTGGATATGGACTCGTCAAGTGCCCCTGTCAAGTATTAGTTATATGAAATAAACAAGACTTGACAAAGTATAAATCTAACCTGGACCGCCCAAATTAATTGCATAGCCAACAACCCAAAGTGCCTTAAGCAGGCTTGTTGGCCTAATGCAACCCGCTTCAGAATCCTGCCCAAATCCTGGCAGGCGTGCCCCATCACTGCACACGATTCCCAAATGACGGCTGGACAATCATAATGGCTCCTTGAACTTTGCCTGAAACGTCAGGTCGTGGGAGAGAAAAAGGAAACAATTTATTTTTATATTGGGAAAGGACGGGAGACTTTGGCCATTCATCTCTTTTTCAAAATTACAACCAAGAACCACCTACTCCTCTTCTGCCCTGGCGCATCGAAGGACAAAAATCCTCCATCCTCGCCGGAAATGCTTACAGCACCGACCACCAGGAAAGCATTATCTCAGCGCCGTACATTGAACTCCGACAGAAGTAAGTCTTCCAATCCTCTTGTATTTTTTAATACCCACATATGCCCTTTGCTTTGTCTGAATCTTGTTAGATTTGCATATATATTGGGGTAGATATGGCCGCTCAGAAAGTATCTGGGTTTGCGTCAACCATAAACTCTGAAGCCAAGGCTAAAGAAACCGCCAAGCAAAATAACTTCCCCATAGATCTAGAATATCGAGCACCACTGGATTATGAACGGGCTGATACTCCACCAGAGGGGAAAATTACTGTGTATGCTAGATTCATGTTTCTAGGGTTAAGATTCCCCCTTTACCCTCTGTTTGGCAAAATAGTTCACCACTATAAGATTCCACTTGCTCGATTCACCCCAAACTTAGTCACAGCGGTCCTCGGTTTCGCGAGACTCTGTGAATCGCAGAACACCACGCCTCGACTAATAGTGTGGAGGTATTTCTTTAAAGTCTGCGTTCCCTCGACTAAGTACAAAGAATGGTATAATGTAAAAACCAACATAACGTTGAAAGCAGATCACATAGTAGAACTCTTCGATGGTTCCCCAGTACGGAAGCCAAACTACTAATTTATGGAAGCACCAAAAGAGTTTTGCGTGGCGTGGGATTACCGTGAAACCCATGAACTAGGTGTTATAGCAAATACTTGGACCAGTGCTGACAAACAGAAAATTAAGAAGTACAGAGCCGATATTAACGCTATGGAATCTTTCAAGACCATCCTCAGCTACACCAAAGTCCAACAATACATTCCCCCTGTCCACGTCGAGGAGAAAAAAGGTACTAGCTCATTATGTGCATTTTCTTTGTTTTAGGTCATGTCATCGAGCAAAGATACCGTTAGATTATTTGGTGACGCCCAGATTTTTGAAATTAAAAATTCAGATGATGAGGGGTCGTCGAACAAAGTTACCAAGAAGAGGAAACTAAGAAGACTTGTAAAGGCGTCTGACGCGGGTGTAAAGTCCAAGAAGAAGAAGCCGCCCACCGTCGAGGAGATGGAAAAGCTAACCGAGGAGGAAGCCCCAGTCGAGAAGGAGGGGAGAATTTACGACGCGGCTGATCCTTCAAAAACTGCCCCGTCTACTGCCAAGGAAACAGAGGGGAACCCAATTCCTGAGGCCATCCCTGTAACAGAGCGGCATTCAGAGTGGTTCAGACCACTCGAGACTTCGCTGGAGAAGAAGAACACTGTTGAAGACACCGATGGGTCGTCGACATACACTGCTGCCGTCGCCATATATCATTTTGGGGACACTAGGATCGAGTGTCCCATTATTGAGGAAGTTGCAGCGACCTTGACAGAAGAGGAGTCGCTGAAAATGGTAAGATCTATCAATCCGTAAATTCATTTACTCTTGAGTTCCTGCGATACTTTGGCTAAAATCTATCATGTATTCTTTGCAGTTGACTACTGCGATGGCCAGCATTCTTATGTGAGAGAAGACATTAAAACAAGAGATTGCCAGTTTGCAACTCGAAAAGGGGCTCCTCGAGCAAAAGAAGTTAACGTATGAGGAGTTGAGAAAAAAGGAGCAGGCCATGAGGCTTGACAGGGAGAAGGAGTTAGCCACCGTTCAGGCCATGTACAGGGAGATCGAGGCCAAACTGACAGAATATAGAGAGTCCCATATTCCCAAATCAGATTTGCAGGATTGGATGACTGCCTATTGGGCGAGAATGGTGCCGACTGGTGGATTGGCGAGCATCCTGGTGGGCATTAGCAAAGATGCCAAGGTGCCGGGGGGACATGGTGTAGCTGTGGCCGCTCTCCAAAGGACGGAGAGCGGAAGGAATATTAATGCTGGATGGCTTCAGCAATTTTTAAGGCCGCATCCTAAGAAGACTCTCCATGGGACCATAAAAAATGGATTGCAACAGCTCTCTGATGGTCAACTCCCACTAATCGGGCCATTATGCAATACCGTTGCTCAGATGGGCTCATTTATAGAGATTGCTTCTTTTGAAGGAGATGCCCTTACAATGCTCCCAGTTGATGCTGGAAAAGAGGTACGCATGCTGTAGCTGGCCCCAGATATCATCGGTGTTGAGGTGGAATGGGAAGAGGATTCCTCGGAGCAAGTCGAGGGGGACGGGAAGAATGACTAGGAGCCTAAAAATGAAGGGAAATCGACTCCCACTCCTGTCGAGGGGATAAACAAAAGCCAGCCAAGCCCGCCTCCCGGTCAAAATGACGTATGAACTCTTTTCTTGTAATAAGATTTTTGCCGCTAAGGTTGTAGACCTTAGCCTGCTGTAGTAATTCTTGAACAATTTTTGCCAATTAAGAATTAGATCAGTGCCTCTTTCCTCTAACATTTGATATACTTCTACCCATTATGTCAGGATTCGTACTTCGTTCATCTAGTACATCTATTGATCCTCAAGGAAGACGAGGTCGCGAGGTTCCCCAGGTACGCGATGATTTCTTCAATGTTGAGGAAATTTGGGGATGTTCACAACACTAACATAGTGAAAGCCCTCGAAAAAGAGCTTACCGATGCTGTCAATGCACTTAACCTTCGAGCGCACTCCCGCTTGGTGCAGCGCTTTAGATAACAAGAGGAAGAGTGGAAGCGTCGACTCCACCAGTATGACTTGGACTTTCACGATTCTTGTCTCTAGAAGCCAACATTAATGAGGAAATGGAGAAGCTGAAAAAAGAAAATGCTCGACTGAGGAAGCGCGAGAATATTTTCGTGTCCCCATGGTTCCTCGAAAAGTTTGACACGCTTGCTCTAGTCGAGGCACAGATAAAGAATCGCACAGAAAGCTTTATCATTGCAATTGACCTCCTAAAGAAGAGGACCAAAGAGGCGGAGTTCTACTCGAAGCAGGCACCGTTCTGCAGAACATACTGGTGGACAACGAGATTTCCTTATCCATTCTCGAGGACCTCGATCCGGATGATGAGGCAAAGAAAAGGGCAGCCGCTGAGGAGTATCTTCTTAGAATCAACGACCAAGATTGAGAGATTCTAGATTTAAAGGATAAACTTAGTCAGTGTCTCCATAGGCTTAGGGTGATGGGATGTTCAGGCGTTATTAAGCCTTCCCGATTTAACCCTAAGGGGAAAGATCTCAAGATTTAGGTATGTATCAAGTGTATATTGATACATTTTCCCAACCCCGCACTAAATGTGAGGGCATTACATTTGCAGTCGTATCAGCATCAGTTATTTGTTTGTACTCGAGTATGTTTGTATAGCGCTTGTTTGGCCGAATGTAAAGTACATGGTACTATCGAGAAATCGGATACGGATCCCTCGATTTAATAAAACCGTGATCTACGATAGGTGCGAGGAGAGATCCTCGTCAGGGATGGTTTAGTTTCTGCCAGGGGTTTATATTTGTCCTTCCCTCCTCACTCCCCTGCAAGTGAGAAAGATTCTTAGGAATTCTTCAGTGTTTGTTCCCGTTGGATATAGCTTTCCACTGTGGCCCACATCTCCTGTGTATTTCGAGGAGGTTTAGTGGTTAACTTACTTGCAGGTGGGCGGATTTTCCCCAAGGGTTAAGACCTTGGATGAACCCATTCCTCACGTCTCTATCATCAAGGTTGTCAACCTGGAGAGATTCACGGGTAAAGCGGCGATGGAAGTCTGAAAGGCTCTCATTATGTTGCCTGATTGAAGATAGGTCAATCGACATCTTTGTAACTTGCTTGCTAAGGAAGAACCGGGTAGCTATCTTTACCGTGAGATCCTCAAAGCTTTTGATGCTTCCTTCTGGCAGTTGTCCAAACCAACGTTGTGCTTTTCCGTCGAGGAATGATGGTAAAGCTTTTGCCATGAAGTCTAGGGATGCACGAATTCTCATGAATTGGACATATTTGTTTAAAAAATGCTATGGATCAGAATCTCCTGTATAACAGGTGAAGACTTTGGGGAAGTTGAAGTCTTGAGGTTTCGGACAGTCTTGAATCCTGGGGATGAAAGGGCTTCTGTCCACGATCATCCCTATCATCCTCTGCATCGAGTCTCGAATTGAAGGATCCTGATTGCCTCGATTTTCTTGGTGTCGAGGTGGAGGATCTCCTCCTTGACGATAGTCATGACGGGACTTCTCCGGAGGAGCTTTGGGTCCGAGTCGAGAGTGGGCATTGCCTCTCAGAGGTTCCCAATCCCTTTTAGATAGTTCCTCGACATTGGGTGATGTCGGTCGATCATGTCTGCGGGATTGTTTCTTTTGCTGGTGTTCTTGTGCAAATTGTTGAATCGCCGCATAAACTACTGGATTTGTCTTCTCGAGCGCTTCCCAGAAAGTATCACCAGGGGTGTCGGAAAGTTCGGCACGGGAAGCTTCACGATAAGGGATTTCTTTGCGAGCCCTTTCTTCTCCTTTATCTGGGACTGGGCGTTTACCTCTTCTTATCTCGAGAAGATCCAAAGTCCTTCTTGCCTCTCTCTCCTCGACCAAATCATCCAGATCTTGATCCATAGGATCAGGTAGGCCTAACAGACAACATCGCTTGTATTTTTCGAGGATATATCTCTTTTTTCTTTGGTTGAAGGAATTGACGTCCTTCAACTTTTTCAGTTCCGCTTCAAGCTCGGCTAGTCGTTGTTTTTTATACGGGTTGGGGGCCTTGCGGTGACCTTTCTAATCAGTTGGCTTTACAGGGGTGTTCTCTTTCCTTGTCGTGGGTCGTTTCTCTTCTGCTTCTGCCTCCATTGGAAGTGTGCTAGGGTGTCACCGTCTTCTGGCCTTGTCTGTCTTCCAGTTGACGCGGCACTGGATTGAGGACTGTCAACTACCACCATCTTATCTTCCAAAAACCCTGGTCTTGAAGCGTTGGGAATAGACTGAAACGTTTTGAAAAGCTTGAGAAAGCTTGGTGACACAAACTCTAGTTATCGAGTCCCACTGGGCGTGCCACTTGACGATGCCTGGATTTGTATCCTTGGCTCGGCTGCGGAACTCTGACTAGGGTTTCTTGCGAGAAAGAACTTCGGGCATCTCCCGAAGGTAGACACTCTGATGTTTAAGTTAGTAAATTGGAATTGTTTGCGTGTATCGATTGGTAACCAAGATAGCGTACCTTAATTGTGGAACTTGCATCCCTATTTATAGGCAAATAGATACAATCAAAGAACCGAATCCTACTAGCACTTAGTCACATTGCTGCCCTATTGGAGTCGGTCGGGCCCCTTACACGGTTCTTGGGCCGGTCCAATACCGGGGTGGATATGGACTCGTCAAGAACACCCTGACTTCCCTTCATTCAGATTTGCAGAATAAACATTTAACTGTCTACAATGATATTCCAACTTCTATTTCCAATTTCAGTGAGTAATAACTCAAAACCTTTGATGGCATGATAATCATTACTGAACATACCAAAGTGAACTTCACTCCCAGTAATTCTATTTTTATCAACATTGCGATCTAATTCAAGTAAATAACCTAAATTAATTTTAGGCTCCAGTAGATTACCATTTAACTCAATATGAATCACATCACATTCTCCCATCCTTAAAGCATTCCCATTGATCCTAACTGCAACTTCAATTATAAAAGGCCCTACTGCAGTAAGGTGCTTGCAGAATGCAGCACTCACGGTAATGGGACCATACGTCTCAGACTTTCCAATTGAAATATTGAACTCAGTCCCCTCTATCACATCATTTTTACTGGAACTATCGAATACATTATCCAAGTCATGAATTTTACTAGCATTTCTAGCAAACAGAGTTCCTAGTGGAGCACAACACTTTGACAGATCATTTAAACTCGAGATTGCAATCATTTTCTTAATCTAAACATGCAGGAATATTAAACATTTTATTCACACTGTCCGAGCTCAATTTTGAATATGTAGTTCCTCCTTTGAAACCACTCACCAGTAAACCAAACTTTCCAATAGTAGATTGATTAACCCCACCATTCACACAGTTGACATACACACCATTACTGTCTTTAAACTGACTTAACACATCAATAGGCTCTTCAACAATAGTCAGCATATCAATGGGAATTTCACTCCACAGTACATCACTGAATGAATCATTTGAGCTAAAATTCGTTCCACTTCCACTAGGATCAATACTAAAATTCGTTTGAGCTATATCAATTCCAACCAAGCTTTCAAGAACACACACAGATTCAATCAAAACTCGACTCAAATCATCATTTGGCAATAAATGATCAATATTCACAGTATCCACACAATTGTTCCCCAATTTAATGTTAACATCATCAGTCAAACATGCCTTATCAACAAATTCATCGATCATGTCATCCAAAACCATAGAATCACCATTCATTTCCAAAAATATAACAACGGAATCCACAAACTCAGTAACTTCTATACTCTAGACTGAGGGATTACCATTTTCATCCGAAGTCTCAACCGAGAGGTCAGTAGACAATTTGGCATCATTTTCTTTTTCCTCTGATGAAGTAGTCTCGGATTCCACCGCTGTATCACCATTAATTTCTTCAATAGTGGTAACTGATGCTCCTCCTTGGCCTGACTCTGGATCGCCGGCTTCCCACACGTTAATCTTCACCGTAGGTCAAATATAATGCCCAAATCGGAGCTCCAATTTTTCGGAAAATTCCTCCCAGTTTGTCAATTGGGAAGAACATAGCAAGCCGTACAAAAATTGCAAAGGTTCACCGGTTGAATAGAATTCCACCACAAATAATTTCATATCTGGCCGAATGAAATTATAGGAGAAGAACTGCTCCATTAGGTCAATCCAGTAAGTGACATCTTCGCCGGAGAATAGGGGAATCCTGGTCGATGATGGCTTTGGAAGATTATATGGCGTCGGATTGTGGGGAATGATTTCAGATGGGTGAAGCGTTAATTCATTCTGAACCCTAATGCGGGTTTTGTCGGAAATGAAGAATTCCATCAGCAAAACAGAGGTGGAACAAAATAGGAGCTTGGTGTGAACCACAGAATGGAGAATTTCGCGTAGAATTCAATTTACAGAAAGAGCAGGGAAAGAAGAGAATGAACGAATCACAAAAAAATGATATAGAGACGGCCGAGGAAGGATCGCTCTGATACCAAATGTCACGTCCGAGGGCCGAAGGGTGGCCGGAATTACAGAAAAAAGGAAGAAATAGACGGTAGACCAGAGGAAAATTAGGGTTCGAGGATGGGGAGAACGAAGAAAAGAGAGAATTAGAGAAAATCCAATTTGGCATTAAAATTTTCGATAATACGATTACTACTCCTGGCAAACTATTTATAGTCCCCAAGTTACAAAAAATACAATAAGATCCCTAAACATTTTAATCCTAGCAATTCAGTCCAAGGGCGTGACAACGTACAAAGTTTAGTTATCAAAACAAACTCTTTTAGTTTCTTCTTTAAAAAAAACAATGCATTGACTTTGTTGGAAATCCTCCAAGGCTCCAACCAATATTGATAGTCTTATCATGTACCAGAACAACAATATGATTACAAAATATGCATTACAATTTTATAATAAAACATCCAAATAATTGATATGTAAAAAGATTTATTACAACTATAAAATATTCTTAAATAGAAGCTAGGGTGGGGGCACGTGCCCACACTTACCAGGGATGCCCTTATATTCAATATATAAAACAAATAATAATTATTTATAAATAATTATCTTTTGGTGATTCATTAAATTATAATTAATGTTATGTTTGGAAGGAAATAATGGTAGACAAAAATTGATATCGCACGTCTGGACCCCATGTTTTCAATTGGGTCATGTGCCTACTGAATAAAACCCATAATAAAATTTGTTATTATGTTATGCGATTTAAAAAATATTATCTGTTTAATTGTATTTAGTAATAAAATCTTGGCGACTTCTTTCTCTCTCCCCGTCTGTAGGGACAATTCCACACCAACTATGTGCGAATTGAATTCTCCCTTTGCCATGCACATTTCTTGGTGCCCACGATGGTGGGGAAAGTGAAGAAGAGAGGGAAGATTGTGACTGAGGAGTTCGAGGAACCCGATGAAGAGCGTGTTCATCTGATGGAAGTTCCTTGATCCAAATCACCAATTAAGGTTAGTAATCCTACTTTGTTGTGACAATTTCTAGGTAGATTCTTGTATGAAATTATTGGAGAAGATGTTTAATCGTAAAATAGTGCAAATTGGTGAAGGTTCGCGTAGTAAGAATTGGTCAATTGAGGTGGATAGCAGTGAAATTAGGGCTACACAGGACCCTACACAGGACCCTAGCTTAATTCAAGGCCTAAACTGAAAAAGCTAGAATATATTGAACCTGAATTGATGCAGGATAGGGCTATGTTCAGGATACTCTAGAATACTGGAAAACATCCATTATTTGCTATGTTCTGGGAGCTAATCCTCCATTTTTGTTGTTAATAGATACTTACCTAGAATTTGGGTTTGGTGTTGATAAAGTGCTGCTGATAGACGACAAGGTCTACATTGTTCGGTTTAAGTCAGTTGCAGCTAAGGAAAAGGTTCTAAGGAATAATGTCTACCATTATGACAACAGCACTCTAATAGTGAAGAATTGGTCTGTTGAGAAGAGATTTAAACTAGAAGAAGTGAAGCTGGTCTCTCTTTGGGTACAGCTTCCAGAGCTGCGACTTAAATATTGGACAGCTAAACTCTAAGTAGAATCATAAGTATTCTAGGTAAACCGCTAGAAATGGATCAGACGACCACTATGAGAAATAGAACTAGGTTTGCTAGAGTGTTGGTGGAGATGAAGATCATAGATTATATGCCTGAAGAAGTTTGGTTTGAGGATGAGAATGGAGTTTTGCAAGAGCAAAAAGTTAGGTATGAGTGGCTTCTAATTAAATATAGAAATTGTACTAGATACGTGATGAGTGTCAAACATGCATGATTATGAGCATTATGTTGTGTCCTCTTTCCCTTGTAAAATAGTAGAATGTAGGCTATAATTGTATACTACTAAGCGATTTCTGCATTTTCCTCTCATAAGGGACCTAATTAAAATAATTGCTAAATTCTGGGTAAAGTTGGAAAAAAGACGCAAAAAACGGACCACTTCAGCATTTTCCCGATTCCAGGAGTTAACTTTGGGACCATTTCCTTGGCTCAATTCTTATCAGAATGGAGCAAAACAACCAAACAAAAGCATAGCAACGTGGTTCTGTGGTCCAGAAGATCAACGCAAAATGCGCAGCTGGAATCGAGCCTGAAAAACTAAACAAGAACTGGACGTTTCTGATGAAGCTCCTGAAGGGTGTACATGGTGAAATCTAAATGAAGAATCAAGCTGCTACTACTCTATAAAAGGAGAATAAGATGCACACTTTCAAGAGAGGAGGAGAATCTTAGACTCATGATTCCTTTTTTTCCAGTAATTTTTCCCTTAATGTATCACTACACTATTTTTTGAAAAAAAAATAATAGCAATAAGATGCATATTTTCTTTTTGCATTTTTTTAATCTGATTTTTTAGTTGTTCTTGTCAAAAAATTAAATTTCTATTGATATATTCATTTTTATTGATTTAACATTGATTTACCTTTCTAAAAATTCTATTTCAATTTTTTTTACCCATTTAAAAATAAAAAATGTATTGATTTTCCATTTATAGGCTTTAATCATTTTCAAATATTTTTTGGCATTTTCTTAAAAGGAAGTGATTTTAGGATGAATCCTTTAGCCGTATATAATATTGGGCAAATATATGCACGACGGAAATATGTTTCAACCGCCTAGTGAAAAAGGTGTTGAAGGCCTAACAATAAGCCAAAAATCGTTTTGCTATCTATTCCAGATCAAACATATTTATAAAAAAAATACCTCATTTTGGTAGTTTATGCATTTTTAAACAAGATCTTGTCCCTTCCAGCTGTGGTTCCCTTTGAGTGATGGAACAAATGGGAGCACGAACTCAAGACGGTCTCTCTATGATTTCATATTGGACTAACGTATAATGGGAATGACAAAAATATTAAAATCTAGAAACTTAGAGCCTTGCTGGTTGAAGAAAACAAAAAGAACGTCTCTAATTCCAAGGATTTTCGAGTCTCAGTTGGAAATAACTATTGTAGCTATATAAGGTAGAGCGCACGCCTTTGCAGAAACTATTTTGTCATGGTTGTACAAGACCATTCTAGAATCTCATTAAAAAGAAATCATGTCTATACATAAGAATTATGTAACTCTTCGAGAACTTATGCTCTAATTACTGATGGAACGACATTGGGAACACCGGGTGAAGTTGGCATGTAATTTGCGGTGATCAAGGAAACTTCATTCATGCAGAGAGTAAATACGTAGAAACAGGATTTAGTCAAGATGTCGAGATTGAAGCACTCCATGCTGGGTTGAAGAAATGTGAGACTCTTTAGCTACCAAATGTGTGTGTTAGATGTGACAATAAAACAGTATTGGACATGCCGAAGGAAGGAAAACCATATCCTTGGAAGAAGGAAGCTTCAATGCAAGAGATTATAAAATTTTTTCAAAGGAGTAATTACTCAAATGTTCTTGTATTTAGAGAAGTAAACTCAGTCACAAATTTATCGGCTAAACTGGCATCATCAAGAGTTACTTCAAGTTTTGAAGACTGGAGACAACTACCAAGACAGATAAGGGGATTGTTGGCTTTAGATCAACAATTCTTTCCCTATTGGCGTGTAAGGTATTTTTTTTTTCAAACAAATGTAGGAAAATAGGATAGATTAGAGAACTGTCATGGGCTTTTTTTTAAAAAAAAAAATCTTATGAGACAGACTCTTAGCCTAATGGATTGTGTCTTTTCTTCTTAAAAAGAACTGTCATGGGATTCTAGGGATCTTTGTAATACAGTTTCCGAGTGATAATAATCATAAGAACCGTTATGGAGGTTGTAGAAAAGCTTTTGTAAAATGATTTCTTTTTGTTTGGGTAAATCTTAAGCATTATCCATTGTACTTTTCTTTTTATATTAATAAAACCGGGGTTCTCCCACTAGAAACCACCCTGGATTTCATTAAAAAAATAAGAATTATGTAAATATTATTACAAGTCTTTAGTCAAAGTGAAGGTATAGCTATCGCCGCAGAGCCTTTTCGGTTATATATAGATGTTTCCCCCCTTAAATGATTAGAGTTAATTTTATATTCAAACACTTTTGATGAGGATAATTCAATTACTTGGGATTTTTCTCGATGGAGAAACTTTCATGCCCCCTAAATCATTACTCTTTTGCCCCTTAAAATGTTAAGTTTTGCGAATAGAATGTTAATACTTAATATGAAGTGATGCTTTTATTTTATTTTATTTTTTCTCTGAAACCAAAGTTATAAGATTCCAGTTGTCATTTTGCAA